ATTGGACAAAATATTGTAAAGGTCATGTTATTTGTAATACCTCAAGAGGTATAAATAGGCTTGGTTTTAGACCAAGTAAGAATAATAATGTTCATGATACAATAATAATAATAATATAATAACCTTGTAACAGAAATATTATTGCTAATAAAGACACATAACACTTTTACAATAAATCAAACTTCTAATAAAACCTTGATAAATCTTTGCTGAAAAGCATACTCACCTTAAATTAAGACCATACTAACTAAGGGATGCCTTAGTAAGACAGTGGAGTATTTATTTATTATTTTTTAGGCTTTGCCAGCAGTACTTCCATTAGTACTGTAGAGAGAGAGATTGCGCAAAAGAGAGAGATTTGAGTAGGCTCTGAGCTTCGTGTGGATACAGAGGCCTGGTATAGAGTATTGAGAACCCTGAGCTGTGTGTGGATACAGGGAGATTTATATATTGGACTTTTTATTTACTTTATCTTATATATTTATTGGACACAACCTGAGCTGTATTTGAATTTACACGCTCGCAATAGTTGCCTTGACTATCAGTAAGTGGTGGAATCATGTTATGAATTAAACTTTCATTATTTTCTAAAATCTGTTTCATTATCAAACAAATAACAAATATAAGGATTAAAAATTAATTTAAATATCAAGTAATTTACAAAATACCTTGCTTGCTATATCTTTTCTAACAATTCCATGCATCTTCTGCAGGTGATGTATAGTATTTGTTGTAGACCCTTTAGTCACAGTAAGTGAAAAAAATTGATTACATAATTTGCCATTATTTAACTTAACAACACATCTCCAACCATTTGGTAAATTTTCTAGGGATGGGGCGGCTCCGTTAAGGAGCCGCTCTGTTGGAAGATCTTTCCTTCTAAAGAAAGATCTTCGTGTATGTCACGTGATTTTTTGACTAAATAAATATATAATAATAAATTAATAAAAAACGAATAGTTGATTCATCAGGGTTGATGTAAAAATTCTCTCGGTGGAAGTTGCCTATTTCTTGATCATCAAAATTTTCTTGCATTTGTTCCTGGTGGAAACACTGATTAATACCTCCCTTACTCTTTTGCCTTTTAATATTAAAACTGTGCATTAGGGTTAGCTGGGGAATAAAACTAGACCTAAACTTTTTAATTTATTGTTAATATGATTTTCCATACATCATTTTTATTATTATAAATATTAAAACAAAGGTGAGAAAACTTCTGAGTTGATTTGGATACCCACCTTTTTATAAAT